CCTCTACGAAGCGGTGGAGGGCTCTCGGCGACGACGGATGTGACGACGGGCGGAATTGCACCGGCATATGGCTACTTCAAGTTCTCGCCGGACCGGATCACCGTCGCACCGCTGCAAGGTCGACGGGTCCTCCTCACATAGAGGGAGTCGATAGAACCTCAGCTGGAGGTCACTGGGCTAAAGGGCTTCGCCGACGGCACAGTGCCAATTCCTCCCGTGGACGATGTCGAGTTGCGCGGGGAGTTTCGTGCGGATCACTTGCTCACCTTCATGGTCATCTTGAGGTGCTGCTCGCCGGCGGTGCAGCTGGCGCTCAGGAGCTATTGAGAGCAACTGGATGCTGGTCACCAGGCATGGCACTTCATCCTATCGACGTTCCAGGTCAGGAACGACCTGTACATCGGACAGCTGGAGGAGAACATGACACACATTCGGATGAGCGAGCAGGAGTCGGCGTCGGACTACTACTCCTAGCTGAGATGCGGATGGCGGGCGCCGAATACTCGACGGCGTCCTACATCTCTCACATCGTCAAGGGCCTTCCGCGTGGCTACAACCTCATGAAAATGATGATGATGGTACCCGGCACGTGTGAGTCCCTCGACGAGGACTCCATCACCAGCTACATTCTTCAAGACAAGGCGATGCAGGAGGCCGAACAGCCCACGGAGCTCCTTCCTCAGGCAAACCACGCTGCATCAACGAAGCTGAATCAACAGCAAGGGCATCGCGGAAAGTCGGGCGGAGGTGGTAGCGGAGGTGGGCGGTCGACGAAGGACGTCGACGAGAAGAGGTCGACGCGGGGCAAGGGCCGAGGAGGTGGTGGTCGACGGCGGGAGTGCTGGATCTACCACGACCCCAACCATCTTTCCTACGATTGCCCTGACCGCGAGGACAGCGACGAGGACGACACCAAGGGAGGCCGTGGCCGGTCGACCAGACGTCGCCCCCGTTGAAATGAGAAGCCGCGCAAGGAGATGCAGACGTTGAAGAAGACGTCGTCGACGAAGGACGTCAACAACTCCAGCGGCAAGGGCCGAGGCGACGAGGAGGCGCCGTGCTCGATGATCGGCATGGTGGAGCCGACAGTCTCGCTGTCGCCGGAGGCTGGCGAGGACTTCCAGGCGGTGGCGGCAGCTGTGCAAGCCAACCCGATGGCGGCTGCTCCCACCACCTGATGGGGACGAAGGCGGTCTTCGTCGACATGGCGCCGAGCGACAGCATGAAGCACGTGCGTGGATTCAACGGGGCGCTGCAGCCTGTCGAGGGTCGCGGAACCATCGCCCTGCAATGGGAGGCCGGGAAGCGGGTCCTCATCCCCGACGTGCTCTACGTTCTGGGCGTACAGATGAACCTGCTATCTGCTGGCCAACTGAAGGAGAGCGGAGTGCAGCTGAAGGGCGGCGGCGACGAGATGCTGCTCGTCGCCACGACCGGAGAGGTGCTTGGTCGAGCACTCTACACCGGACGAGTCCTCTGCACCGACCTTCGCCCCTACTCGACGCGGTCATAGTCGACCGAAGTAGTGGCTCTGCGGAAGATCGTCTTGGCGACGAAGTCGACCCCTGACCGGTTGCATGCGAGGCTCGCGCACGTCGGTGTCGACACGATCAAGAGCTCGGTGAAACATGAAGTTGCTACTGGGTTCCACATCACTCTGTCGACCGGAGCAGACCCGCCATGTGTCTCGTGCGTCGGAGGAAAGCTGGCGCGGCACACCTTCCCCGACAAAGGCTCGGACGTCGAGGAGGCGCTGGCTGTCGTGCACATTGACTTGTGAGGGCCATTTCAGGTTGCTGCCAAGGATGGCAGCTTGTACTTCCTGCTGCTAAAGGATCGCCACACTCAGTTTGTGTGGGTGATGCCAGTCGCTAAGAAGAGCGACTTGCTGCGGGAGTTCTATAAGTGGCTAGTGCTGGTGGAACGGCAGGCGAAGAAGTCGGTGCCGATGCTCCGCTCAGACCGGGGAGGGGAGTTCCTCGGGAAGGAGTCCACCGACTTCATCGATGGCAAGGGCATCGTCCACGACCTGACTTGCCCTTACACTCCGTGAGGACGATGCTGCTGCACATGGGCGTGTAGCATCACTGGTGGCACCTCGCTCTACGACAAGCTGTCTGGGTGCGCAACTGCTTGGAGCGGTCGATGACGCCGCCGAGGACGACTCCGTATCAGCTGCTGACCGGGAAGAAGCCCGACCTCACGCTGGCGTGTGTGTGGGGCTGCATGGTGTGAGCAGCAACGCGGTGGGAAGCTGGCGCCGAAAGCTCGCTGGGGGCTTCACCTGGGCGTGTCGCCGGAGAGTAAGGGCTGGGAGGTGCTCGACCTGACCGATAACAAGGTGGTCACGGCGGTCGAGGTGATCTTCTACGAGACACTATCGCTGGAGGTGTGGAAGGCGAAGTTTGTGCTGGCGTCGGGGCAGACGCAGGCACACCCGCCGACGGACACATCGACGGCGACACTTCCCTTGCTCGCCAAAGTCGACGAGCCTGCTGATGAGGATGTTGTGGAGGTTCTTCCACCTTCCCCTGTTCTTGCTCCTCCCTCCCCCGTCGCATATCGGCCTGCGTTGACATCTGTGTCGGCCACTGGCGATGAGGGGAGCCTTGAGGCGTCGCCTGTGGCGCCGGCCAGTGGCATCGCCCACGGTCGACAAGGCGCCAAGCTCGTCGACTAGGATGGGAAGCCGTCGACGACAGGGGAGCAGCAGACAGGGGAGCCGGTCGAACAAGAGGCAGCAGCAGGGGTGCAGTCGATAGGGGAGCAGCAGACGGGGCGGTCGACAGGGGAGCTGTCGAAGTCAGCAGGAGGTGAGTAGCTGGTCGAAGGTTCAAAGCAGCCTGGTCGACGACTTGGCCATCGATGAAGAAGGGGACCTGCTGGGTGCTGGTCTACGTCGACGACCTGCTCGCTGCCAGCAGCAGCCCCACGATGCTGAAGGAACTAAAGAAGCTGCTGGAGGCTGCCTTCGAGCTGCGTTAGATTTCGCCGGTCGTCAAGTACCTCGGGCTGGAGATCGTGCGCGACAGGCCAGCAAGGAAGCTGTGGCTTCACCAGCAGGGCTACGCCGACAAGCTGCGCAGGCGCTTCATCGACGAGGAGCAGGGCGGTCGAGTCTCGAAGACGCCGGTCTCGGTCGATGCCTACGATGAGCTGACATTCGACGACGACGAGGCGCAAGAGCGCGAGGAGGAGGAGTACCGGCTGAAGGTTGGCTCGCTGTAGTTCGCGGCGACGACGACGAGGCCGGACATCGCGTTCGCCTGCAGCAAGCTGGGGAGCGGCCTCACGGTGAGGAGCGACCAGCATTGGCGCGAGGTCGACCGCTGCCTCGCCTACCTCGCTGACACCCGCGACACCGCCCTGGAGTTCGGCGGTGGACCAGAGTCGCTAGAGCTGATCGGCTACGTGGACGCCGACGGCGCGGGCGATAAGCAGAACCGGACGAGCACGGGAGGCTACGTGTTTGCCTACGGAGGGGCCGCCATCTCCTGGTCAAGCTCGCCCATCAAGTGCGCGACATTGTCGTCGACAGAGTCGGAGTACGTGGCGGCCACGGATGCAGGCAAGGAGGGACGTCGACTTCGTTTCCTTCTTGCGGAATTCAAGCTACTCGACGCTGGGAAGCCGACCATCCTCCGCGTCGACAACAAGTCAGCAATTACGGTCGCTGGGAAGCCGACCATCTTGCTCATGCCGCTGCTTCGGCTTGTGCCTGTGCTCGGTGTCGGCACAAGACCGCTCCAGTCGCCTGAGCTAGTCAATCATCATGATGGCACGTGCAGAGCAGAGAGGCGGCGTGCCGCAGCAGGGGAGGCTTCGGCTAGAGCAGAATTGGACGCACCAACGTCGGTGTTTCCGTGGGACAGTCGGGGTGTTGCTGCGTTTGTCGTCCCTGACCTGAACCTGCCTGCTGCTGCTGGAGTTGGTGATGGTGGTGGTGATTGTGCTGATGGTGGTTGTGCTGGTGGTGACGTTGGTGGTGACACTGGTGGGCCAGCATTGATAGGCTGTGAAAGCTTTGATTCTGCATGTGAAAGCTGTGGTTTGGATGGTATGGCATCAGCACATGGACAGATCACATCTGCGTTGCATTCCTGTATATCCGGTGGTGCTTCTTTGGGTTTTAATGTCCCATAGGCCATCCAGGTACAGCAACAGCAGCAGCTGCAGCAGCAGCAGCCACAGAAAGAGCAGCAACAGCGGCGCCAGCTACAGCAACAATGGGAACTGCGTGATGAAAAGAAACATTCCCTACCACAACAACCATGGCTGACTCAGGAGAGAAGAATGAAGGGGTGTTTTGGCCTTGGAGATCAGGAAACAACTCATCATATAAATTGAGAAAGCTTGCTTTCTTATTCTTATCAATTGGCATCGTTCTCATTACAAATGGCTGTTTACAACATTTGCATCACAATTGAACACAAGCTAGTGCATGCTCATATCACTAGCTACGATATACCCTATCCAAGTGGCATGCGCGAAACGGTTTACGCTGGGGTGGGTGGTGGGAAGGTTGAGTGAGCCGTTTGAAAATAGAGAAACGTGGGTGGAGGAAATGAGCTCCAACCCACGGTTTTTGTAGTTGGAGAAGGGCGTTTAGCGCGCTTCGACGATGCCAATTGTGCAATACAAGCAGCTTCGCTTTCACAATACACAATTTTACAAAGAAATGAATCCTGCTTCTACAAAGTAACACACCGCACTGGAAAGCTGGTTACATTGTGGAAGAGCACATACCCATTTCATTCTACATAATATGTAATATAGCTTTCACACATTACAATATATTATTCATCTGATTTTAATTAACAGATGGTGGTAATTTTGGGGGACAATGGTACCATGCACGATAGGGGCGTTCAAGCTATCGAAATCTCACATGTGTTTCCTCAGCTCCTTTTGATCCTGCTGCTGCATCTGAATGTACTGTGAACCAATCTGCTGCTGTTGCTGCTCAAGGCAGCACCCCTGGATTCACACGAACGCGTTGGCTATGTGACCAACCCATGCGCTGATGATGCGTCGCAGATGTGACCATCCAGCCCATCGCTTTCACATGCGGACTGAACGTGCCCACAATCAACGAATGCTGATAGGTCAGCACCATTACTAGCATCACCACCATCACCACCACCACGGCCTCTACCATCACCAGCGCCACTGGTGGCATTATCACTGGCAATATCAGCAGCAGCCGGGAGGTTCAGGTCAGGGACGACAAAGTCAGCAGCTGGGCCTGCATACGGTGGGACCGAAGCTGACGGTGCTCCAACACTCGCCTCTGCCATCTGCCTCCCACCCACTGCTCCACGTTCGCCACTGTGATTGATCGACTCGGGCGACTCTAATGATGGCCTTGAAAAGTCCAGAGGAAGAGAGAGGGGCAGGACGTGCGGGAGAAGCAGGGGCAGGGGCAGTGGCAGGGGCGGTTCTTGAGAGTGCAGGAGGGGCAGCGGCAGGGGCAGCCCTTGTGAGAGCTTGGCGTGGAAGTATGCCGCCCAGCTAGGCCGGGGAGAGATACTGCTTGCACGGGGGGCGTCACGGCTGCTGCGGCAGTGAAGCCGAGACTCTGACAGGGCTGTGTGTCCATCTGGGCAGCTAGCAGCGGGCTGTCTGGCTGTGGTAGTGATCTCTGAGGAATCGCCAGCCCTTGTGAACCGCCGCCTTGACTTGCGACTGCCACTGGAGCGCCCTGTCTCCCCATCCCTGGACGAGGTGCGACCCCCATGGCCATCAGCAGCACCATCGCGCTTCCGCTTTCTCTCCACTGCCTCGTGCTCCTCCACACGCTTCACGCTGTCATCAGGCACCACCTCCCCGGCGCATGCGTGCTGCGTTCTCTCCGAGTCGAAGGACTCTCTTCCAATCTCCACGTTCTGCTGTTTAGACACCTCCAGCCTCCGCACTTTAACGACCCCCGCGTGGTGCTCTCGCAGCAGCTGCCTCGCCCACGGGCTGCGCGGCGCCATGCAACAAGCAGGCTGTTCTTGAAAATAGAGGCTGACAGATGTGACCACCTGGTAGAATGCGGCAGTGCACGCAGAATATCGACGCACAGTTGACGGTCTTAGCTTGAATCCTTGAACGGCGAACTGCTTCCGCAACCAGATATTAGTGCTAGGCTTGGAATTCTGAGCGCTGGTGGTAGTAACTTAGTCAACAGATTGAGTCTGTTGTGGATGACAGCATAAGTTTTGGAAAAGGCTCCTATACGTGGCGACCTTATTCGACTCCTCGCTGGCGCAGGAAGGGAAGGAGCTGCGGGAGCATTCCTGGTAGTAACCGCCATGACTGCTCGAATAAAATTGAGATGATGTTGAAAATACATCTCATGATTCGCAATGGATGCAAATTTTCGCTCTTGCTTCCGTACAAGTGAGCGAATATCGTGACTATAGCGCGGGAGGTGATACGAGGCAGAACCCTAGTGGATAGTAGGACAAACAGTATATAATGCACATACACATGATGCCCAACCAGTGCACGCGAATTTGCCCCGCACTGGTTGGAAACGCTGCACCCGAGGTCTTTTCCCCAGCCTGTTGCACCCACGATACAAGCGCGTCGCGTGGTTATAGACCAATAGTAGCGAACAGACCGAAGTCAAAATGAAGAGACTGAAGTCAAAATGTCAACGGATAAGGTTACAGATACTTAATATGAGCACCTGCGAATCCTTTTTAGCTAGCTGCGAATTGACGAAAATTATGCGAAATGCACGATACAGCTTATACGCCCCCTTCACAAGGCAACCAGGAGGGGCTCAAACAGGCATCAATTGTAGTTTGCGGATTTGGCCCTGCTCTGATTGCCAATAATAAGCCTACTGGATCTCATGATGGCGGTGATGAATGTCCACAATACCCTAGATTTTACTAGAGGTTGGCTGGCTTCGTACTGCGCCTTCCCAACACGGAAATAAGAACATTCCAACACCAGTACGGGATTCGGTTCACCTGAAGGAAGCCAATAAACGGCATGAAGGTGGGTTCTCTTGTTACAATTTCGGACTCTAGCATCTTCGTGGCTTTCGAGGTCAGTCGATGTGCACCTCGGCATCGCGCGTCGGACACGCCCCCCGAGTTGAAATAGAGAAATTATATCCTTTCGTTGCCCCCACTAGCAGGGATTAAGGGCGTGTGTGATTTTATTTTTGGTATAATTTGCATTTTCAAATCGAATGTAGCATTTGAACATGAGGTAGAAAAATTCGACTTTCGTTGATGGCAAAGTTCGATCCGCAAACGGTTGAAGCACAACCACACACCCAAGTTCGATTTTGAACGTTCGACCATATAGGGGGTAGCCGAGCCGCCCGTATGTTATTTAGGTTACTTGGTTTCGCCTATCACTGCGAGACGAGCTGTTTACCTGGTTTCAGTGGTGCGTTCATTGGTGCACGAACAAATCGCGTATTTCGTCAACTTCTCTTGCGTGCCCAAAATAACTCATGTTCGGTTCATCGTGCACTCTCACGTTCGTGTGTAGATTCGAGCCTTGTTCACTTTTTGCTGGTCAAATTTGTGTGTTTCCGATCTAAAGTGCATTTCGCCAACCACGTTGGCGACATTGGCGTTTGCGGTTACAAGCTAAAGTTCGACCAAAATTACGAGCCTAAAACAAATTTACACACGCCCTAATATCTACATGCTAACCACAGGCATCACCACTTGTGTCATTGCGGGAAAGGAGGAACTAAAATATATCACAATCAAAGGTGGTGATTCGTGAATGGAAAGAATGCCGTGGAATGTGACACGTGGGTATCCTATCCAATGACGGAACCAAATATAATGATATGTTCGTTTTGTTCTATGTTCCATTACCGACTCCCCCGCCCCTCCCCTCCCCACATCACCGCCAGCGTAGGTTCTGGGCAGCGCTGTCGAAGTCGTCGGTTGGGTTGTGTTTGTGGGTTGCAAAGACGTGAAGCGTGGGTACAGTGCGGTGACGGCGGAATTCATTCAGCTGACAGTACAATGCGGGAGCAAAGGGGTACAATGCGGTCAGCCACGGTGAAATTCATTCGGCTGGATTCAGCTGTGGCTGACAGCAATCCAGGAGAAAAAGGCGGAATTCATTCGGCTGAGGTTTGCTACACCAGCTGGGCATGTATGGGGATAGGTAATTCGTATCGCTTACCTCCTGTTACGAGTGCAATTGAGTGAGCGAGCGAGGATTGCACTATCGAGACAAGATTACAATGAGGGATGGAATGAGCGAAGAATATATAGCGAAAAAGGTGGTAACGGTAACGTGGAAAAATGGGGTGCGCGACGGGCCTAGTGCCGAGGTTTGGGGAACTGTCGAGGCGGAGGTCCGGAGCGCGGGTTATCAGCCGAACCGTGAGGTTGGGTCGCATCATGAACAGTGGCGGGAATGTTGTCGAGGCGAATGTCGCGAGTGGTAACGGGATGTTGTGGGATGCTGTCAGTGTTGTACGCGCTGAGTAGTGACGCGAAGTAAGGAAAATGAATTTTCCTTGCACTAGTCCCCCCCTCAAGGAGGTCTCCCTTTACGAGAGCGCGTGTATATCCCGGAAATTTCTGCTGCGCAAGTATTCGTTGAGAACGGGGTGGTTTTCGATTTTGTCCAGGGGAACCCAGTTGTCCTCGATGGGCGTGCGGTCTCTCCAGCGTATTAAAAATTCGACCCTTCGGGCTCCTCATGGGTCACGGACTCGGTGGCTCAGAATCTTTTCGGGCGTGATGACTGGCTCGGTCGGTGGTCGTGTCATGCTGGCTGGGCGATGTCGGGCCAGTTGGCTGGTGGATGGAATGTAGGGGCGTGATGACTGGCTCGGTCGGTGGTCGTGTCATGCTAGCTGGGCGATGTCGGGCCAGTTGGCTGGTGGATGGAATGTAGGGGCGAAATAGGCTGACGTGGAAGGAGGGGCTGACGTGTCAAAGAGCTAAAGCTAGTTAGGCTTAGAAGCCATGGCTAGAGTAGCTTAGGAGATTAGGTTTAGGGTTGAAGGGGGATGTCGAGAGAGTTCCAAAGGAGAAAGGTGGTCCAATAAAGAGAGGAGGTACAAGGATATAGGCAAAGCAAGCAAGGTGCACCACCAAACAATGTAACACTACACTAACTACTGCTACAAGCAGTTTATATAAGAAATGTATTTCAACATGACGTACCAGTCAGCGGGGAGGAGGAGGTGGGCGGTGACCGGTGTGATCATGTGGCTGACGCGAAATGGCCCGCAATAACGGGGGCGAAGTTTTGGAGTTATGGGCAGGCGGAGGTTTTGGGTGTCGAGTAGAACTAGGTCGTCAAGTTGGTAAGTGACGGGTCTGCGGTGGCGGTCGGCGTTGCGCTTAGCGATAATATTGGCTTTTTTAATTGCGTCTGTTGCCCTGGTCCGTGCTTCCTGTAGGACTTCTGTGAATTGCTGCGCTCGTGGCACCGGGTTGTCGGGATTCAGGGTCATAGGTACTGTAGGGTCTTGTCCGTAGTTCAGGTAAAATGGTGACTGTTGGGTCGTGGCGGATGGTGAGTTGTTGTACGCGAATTCGATTAGTGGCAGTTGCTGTTCCCAGGTGGTGGGGTCGTCGCACGTGGCCCAGATTAACTGTTCCATGGTCTGATTTGTCTGTTCTGTCTGTCCGTCGGTCTCGGGGTGGTACGAAGAACTGAACTGCAGCCTCGTACCGAACTGTTGTCACAGATTCCGCCAGAAATTGCTGGTAAACTTCGTATCTCGGTCGCTGATTATCGCTGCGGGTATCCCATGTAATCGAACAACGGTTGCGATGAAGAGGCCGGCCGTTTCTTCGGCTGTGATTGATTTCTTGCATGCTGCGAAATCTGCCATTTTCGTCAGTCGATCGACGACGATCAAGATCGCGTCGTTCCCACTTGCACCCACCGGTAACCCCGTGACGAAGTCCATCGTCACCTGCTGCCAAGCATGCTCTGGGGGTGGTATCGGCTGCAATTGTCCTGCCGGCCGCTTCCGTGATGATTTCATGACCTGGCATGTGGGACACGATGCCACGTGTCATTGCACGTCAGTCAACATTTCGGGCCAGTAGTAGTACCGCTGCAGCTGCTGCCGTGTTTTCTCTACTCCGAAATGCCCTGAGGTAACTCCGTCATGTGCGTCCTGCAACAGTAATTCCCGTAGGAGCGTGTTGCCCGGTACCCAGATGCGATCAGTGCCGGATTTTACGTGATAGACTCCTCTGGCTGCTGCAAACTGCTGCGAGTTTCCGCCTGTGAAAAATGGATCAGTCTGGTAACCGTGGATAAATAGACCTGTTAACAGTGGGCTGGTTTGGGCGAGTAGTATTGCGTGAACTTGGGCTGTGGGTCGGGTTAATGCGTCGGCGATGTTCAATGCCCCTTTTTTGTAGGTGACTGTGTAGTGAAAATTCGACTCGAGGTAGTCGAGCCAGCGGATTTGTCGTGGGTTGAGGTGGGGTTGTGCACGGAGTTACTGTAGTGACTTGTGATTTGTCCGTACTGTCACGTCGGTGCCGGTCAAGTAACAGCTCCATACTTTGAATGCATGCACGATCGCAAGCATTTCGCGATCGTGTATCGGATAATTCTTCTCGGGCAGATGCAGCCTTCGTGATTCGTAGGCGATGGGCTGTAACCCGTTGCCGAAGTCTTGTAGCAGTACGGCGCCGATGGCGATGTCGCTTGCGTCAGTAACCACTTCGAATGGGCGGTGTGGGTCGGCAATGCGTAGTACGGGCGGTGAACAGAGAACAGTTTTTAGGGTGGAGAAGGCAGCATGCTCTTTCTCCCCCCACGTAAAAGTGACCCCCTTCCACAGCAAATCCGTTAGCGGGGTCGTTAAACGTGCCATGTCGGGGACGAACCGGCGCACGTAATTAACAAAACCCAAAAAACTCTGCAGTTCCGTGATGTTCGTCGGGGGGTGCCACGCTTTTACCGTGTCCAATTTCTTCGGGTCGATTTCTACGCCAGCCTCCGAAATAACGTGCCCCAAAAACTCTAG